CACTACGGCTGAAAGGGACTTGGGGGTCACGACTGACCACAAGATGAATATGGGCCACCAATGCAATGTCGCAGCTGGTAAAGTGAGCAAAATTCTGGCTTGCATCCATAAATGCTTCTCAAGCAATTCCCAGGATGTCATCCTCCCACTGTACTCAGCCTTGGTGAGGCCACAGCTGGAGTACTGCATCCAATTCTGGGCTCCACTTTTTAAAAAGGATGTGGAGAAGCTTAAGATTCCAGAGGAGAGCCATGTACATGATCAGAGGGCAGGAGAACTGGCCTTATGACGAGAGGCTGAGAGCCATGGGACTCTTCAGCCTGGAAAAGTGCAGGCTCAGGGGGGACCTGGTGGCTGCCTATAAGTATATAAGGGGTGCGCATCAGGATCTGCGGAAACGCCTGGTCACCAGGGCACCCCAAGGGATGACAAGGTCAAATGGTCACAAACTCCTCCAAGACCATTTCAGGCTGGACATAAGGAAGAACTTCTTTACTGTCCAAGCCCTTAAGGCCTGGAACAGACTGCCACCAGAGGTGGTGCAAGCACCTACTCTGGACTCCTTTAAGAGACATTTGGATGTTTATCTTGCTGGGATCCTTTGACCCCAACTGACTTCCTGCCCCTGGGGCAGGGGGCTGGACTCGATCTTCCCAGGTCCCTTCCAACCCTAATGTCTATGAAATCTATGGAAATACCTAACAGCAGGGTGGATACGATTTAAATCACTGGTCAGGAAGCCTCGATTTAATCATGATTTTGTACAAAAAGTGCATTCTTGTTGTTTGATATCCTTCATTTAATTTCTTGAAGCTTTGCACTTTTAGAGAAAGGGAAAGGCTACAAATTGACTGTGTGTACACAGATTTGCAGACAGACAACAGGGCTGATGGGTGGGTAATCAGGAATCAGGTCTGTTCTCTCTCATCTCCACATACTGCTGTCAACAAGGATGCTGTCTCTGGAGACAACAAATTTTCCCTATGCCTGTAGAAGGGCATTTGTGCCTGAAAGCTTGCAAAGAACAATTCTTCCACCCATTTAGTTGGTCTAATAAAAGATATCACATCTACTCAAAGAACCGTGTCTGTCTATGATCTCTGGAGACACAAATTCACAGTTTGAGAACAGTTTGAGAACTGCATTACAGAAGTGCTTAACTCTGACAGATCGTGCACCACCAGTTTAAAATGATACAACCTTAAGTATCACCAGCAAAGTTTTCAGTTTAACCTTAAGTACCACCAGCAAATTTTTATTGTACAATTATAATAAATCTGTTAACACGTACCACTAACAGGTTGTCTGCATACCACTGATGGTACCCATACCGGATTGGCAACCGCTGTTCTAGACTGAGCACTGAGTCCCACTGGGTCGAGTGGTTTTCTTTAATCTTTACTAAACTACAGAGTAGCCTCTGGGAATACCATAAGATTGGGCCCCTAATATAGTCCATGGCCTCTTGTGACCTATTAATAAAACTTCTAAAAAGGTTACATAAATATATTGTTTCAAATAGTATATAATTAGAAGTTATAATCCCTATTCCATGATGGTATCTTTGAGCTTTAACACATCTTAAATTAAAAATATCTTTATATAAGCTTATTTTTCAAAAGCATCGTAACAAAAATAAAAATATGATTAAATTAAAAAATCTGATTTAAATTTTAAAGATTGATTTTTTTATTAAAAAAAACCATTGATTTTTATCCACCCTGCCTGACAGTAAAAAAATGGACATTCCAGGAGCTGAGTCCTTACCACCAGAAGCTGACAAACCATGGCAAAGGTGGTGATGTCTGAACCACCTATGTACCAGAGTTGGACACTTGAAGGAACTAATGACGAAGCGGAGCTATCCCACTGGTTCAACCACCTGTGACTATGGCACAGGGCCTCAGACCATGCAACACCTGCTGCAGTGCCTGCTGCTTGAAGGTATATGTACAATGAAAGACCTCACAAAGTACAACAAATGAGCACAAGCGTGTTTAACAAAATGGTCAAATGTGGTGTAGAGACATGAGAAGAAAACCACCTGCTAGGACTTGGCATCAACATCCAGATAAAACAGTTCAACCAACCTCTTAGCAGCTGCAAAGTCAGACTAGCAAATGGACCTGAACAGACACTAGGCATAGGAAGAATCCTTATAGCCTCCACTCATTCCACTGCCCAGAGTTTCCATTGTGCATTTAGCAGTGTTTTTCCTGAAAATAAAGGGGAAAGCAGCTAAATGCACATGAAGGGTATTCATCAAGGGAGAGTGGGCACTGAAATAGCTATTGCAATATGGTTCAGCTATGATTAACAAGATGAATCATTATTCCCCAGTTATTAGCTAATAAGACCTATCATATAGGACTTGCAATCACAGTGAAGTTATTCAGAATTACAGGGGTTTGAAAGAGGGGTTTCAAAACAAAATTATACAATGATTACACATTGTCTGCCCTTCCAAAGCTTTTTGCCAACGACTGAAAGGGCATTCCAGCAATATTGTATAGATCTGGGATGAAAAACACTGTATGATAACAATTTAAAATAGTATTAAATACAGTTAGGGAGCTACTATCATTCTCCAGCTCTGGCCTTAGAGGTTTTTGTCCTTGAAAGTTTATGTTCACCAAATGAAAACAAGTGATGTTAGTTTCAAACTAAAGTTTTAAAAAGATATACAACAACGAGAAGGATGAGGAACACAGGGTTTGTTACTTAAATAACAGTGTTCAGGGATTTATTTTTGTTTGTTTGACTTTTAACATAAATAATTTCAACTCTAAATTTCTCACAGAAAGGAATCTATGACTCCAACCTGAAGATTTCTCAGCAGCAAATTTGTGGAACATGATACAGAGACTCTGCTCCAGAAATTTCATCTGGAGCAGTCTCATCTGATTACACAACAACAACAAAAAACTCTCCCCACATTTAATGGTATTTATTAATACTACACCATATTTCAGTTTGGTGCTTACCAGGTAACTGCATAATTCACTTAACTGCGTGACACAATACCAGTCTGAATTTGTCACCTAATACTTGCATTGTAACAAACTCTAGTTATCTGCATATCAGTTAAGTGCATGAACTGGTTAAGCACAAAGCACCTTTCAGCCCCCTGGGTCTACTTGATAACTTACTATACTCCAGTTAACTGCACTAGAAACAGAGAAGTAGAAGCAGCTATCAAAAGGCTGATATTAGAAGCCTGAAAAATGAGGAAAATGAGTCAGTTTGAGAGCTATTCTCTCTCTCTCCATTTTCAAGGCTTCTAGTAGCAGCTACACAACTATTACAGTGATTCCCAAGCACAGTGGCGTGGCACTTGGGAGTGCCTTGAGAGCCCTTGAATGGTGCCGTGGGGTGTCGCTGTTAGGCACGCAAACATGATTCACAAGATAAACCCAGAGTTTTAAAACAGAAATCCATAGCGTTAAAAACATTCAGACCTGTTGTGATCTTTCTGGGCATTTATACACGCACCTTTTTGTGCTGTGTAGTGTGCAGTTGTATAAGTGACAAAATGAGCATCAGTGCAGAGAAAATAGCAGCAGTGTGCTTTTGAACTAACACACCTTTGATGCGTTTTAGTTCAAAAGCACGCTGCCGCTGCCATTTTCTCCCCACTGATGTGCATTTTGCCATTTATACAACTGCATGCGCCACAGCACTGGGTGCTTTTAAAAGCACTCAGCACTGCGGTGGAGATATGTACAAATGCCCTCTGAGTTCTCTGCAACAGAAGAACTGCTCCAGTATTTTTCTATAATAAAAAATGAGTGAAAACTAAGAGCTGGCAGTTTCTGAAAAATGCCTCAACCCTATCAAGGGGTGCCTCCAGTCTAAAAAGGTTGAGA